TATTACATTTTAGGTTTATGAAAATTACATAATTAAAATAATAAACTTAGAGGCAAGTTGTGATCTTTTTACCTAATATCTGCGAGTCAGAATTTGATTTACTTGAGAATCATATTGTAGGTCTCCACAATTCGTCATATGCAGTTTTTTAAAAACTGTTTTACGATAAATAAATAAATGAATTCTCCTGGCATTCTCTACTTCTTACCATCTTTTTATTTTTTATTAGTTGATTTTTATGTTAGTTTTGATTTTTATGGATTTTCTTGGTAGTTTACGTTAACGTATTTAATGAATTATTGTTAAGAGAAGGGAAAGAACGAAACTGTTGAAAAAAATCACAATTATGACTTACTGCTGTAGTCTAGTGCTTTGTGCGAAAAGATATGACTACGAACAATTCTTACATTAAGGGAACGAGCCGTAAATTAAACAAGCAGAAAAAAAGTATTTATTAGGTGACTATGTAAGCGTTGAAATACCCCATGATCAATAATTGTGGTAAAATATTTTCTTTATATCAACTAATAAATGATGACCCAAGTTTAAATCATATATGATTAAATTAAGTAAACTGTTTTGATATTGTTAATGTTTCAAACTTTGGAAATGCCCTCCTAGAAAACTTGATATTATGGACCCTGATCATTCTTTCTCTGTACCCTTCATATCGTCGGTGCCCAGAAAGGTGATAAATCTCAACGCGCAAGAGAGCGATTTCTATCTGAGTGGGCCGTGTATTTCGCGCCCAAACACAAAGTATTTTACCATACGTACATTGAATTGGCTGTCTTGTAAAATCTCTTCACGATTTCTTTCGCGTAAAAATGTATTTTCTAAACATATTTCTCCATACGTGACGATTTTTGAGATGTCTCTTATCTTTCCACAAAAAAGGCAGTGGAGTCCCCGCTTTTTAGCAGAGTTCTGGGCCCTGGGGACTCGTAATTGAACCCTGGGGTTCACCCGTTGAGCGGGGGCGTGGCTTTGCTTGCAGCTGGAATCGTGCCACGACGACTTCGAGTGCGCGGACGGGCTGTGCTTGCCCAAGGACTGGGTGTGCGACGGCCACCCGGACTGCCGCGATAGCAGCGACGAGCACCCGTTGCTCTGCACCAACTGGAAGAAGCGCCCTCTCGTCGTGGCCAGTGACAGTCCGGACCCCATGCACGCCCACCCCAACGTTGGTAAGTGCCTAGCCACTCAGCGACTTAGACGTCCACATGGGCGCAGCATCGAAGTAGATGGCGTAAATAGATTCTTCATTGTGAATATATAAAAGTGCATGTAACTTTGGAATGCTTGGATCAATTTCAACCAAACTTGCTAATTACACCCGCAACTTTTATTGGTCGATTGTCTAACTTCCTCCTCCCTGGTACAATAAATAGTTGAAAGCAACGAGCACTCATGACAACGTCCCCATCACACCTTCACTGGCGCGTTATAAAAACCATATGCTGATGAGGACGAGAACTCTTTTTCGTGTTTTTCTGAAAAAAATCCGAAGAAATTGCTAAAGCAAGTCCAGATTCTTCATGGAAGATATCTAAAACTCCTGAAAAAGTTAGAATATCCCAGATATTCTAACCCAGACAACTATCCAAGGGATTATTTGTTATCCCAGAAGATGGCATTGCTTCATAAAATATAATGGCCGATTTCGTAACCAATACCCCCACACTGCCACTGCCATTTCGACTAGCCATCAATCAAGAAACGTTGCGTTGGTATTACACATATTACTTACAACGTGAAAAAGAATACTCTATAAAACAACTTTATCTCTAGTGGTGGGGTGGTGCGAAAGCGGTGATATTAACGTATAAAATAATTATTCTACTCATAATAAATTTGTAGCGTAGAGTTGGTAGTCTGGGCGAGGCGGGCTGCGCGATCGGATCAGGGAAGTGGGCGGGGCGTGCGGAGTGGGTGCAGCGAGTGCAAGGAGTATTGTGGAAGGAGCTGGCGCAGGGGTATCCAACTTGCACGACATCAAGGGCCACAACTATCACCTTGAGTATGGTTGCGAGCCATATTATCATTGTTCGTGCGATCCACACCTGACTTCACCGTACTGTTGTTGATCTCGGCAGCTTGCCGGGTTGCTCTGAAACGGGGAAGGGTGCGCGGTGGATCCGTTCGTGATATCAGGCCGTACCTTGCATAAATCATATTAGAATGATTTTGAATTTCTGGATTTACTAGTAAAAAATCCTTAAATCTGAACAACCTATTTTTACATAAAGGGGATGTCGATTCTTGTAAACGCATGTGCTACAATGTTCTCCCCGATATGGGTGCAATGGACTTTCACTTTTAATTAATAAACTTTCGCGGACCACACTAAATGGCGCCGTGAGCTGCATGCGACCGGCGCGGCGCCAGTTGGACAACCCTGTGCTGGTGAAACAAGTAGAGTGGGCTTTGTAATTAAGACGGATGTGCGGCCGGGACTGTTTAATAGATGATTATGATAAATAAATACCCGGGAAGTGCGAGTTAATCAGCTAGTAAATAGCGTAAGTGGCTACAACGTCAACTTTAAACATGGTATACGTAAAAAGTATTTTGCACACAATTTTCTGTCTAAGGCGTTAAGTTAATGGAAGATATTCTGGATTGTAACAACGTTTCGAACTGTAGCTGATTGTCGCATGCACTCTTGTTTCGCTCTTCCCAATTTGCTTTTCATTTATTTGCTCATTCGGCCAGTTAAATAATGTACTGAAAACTGAAGAACTCACTAAAGCGATATTGAAATTTCGACATTACCGGAAAAAATATGATTTTCAACTTTTGGCTGCATGTGTTTGATCAGCATTACTTTTTTCAGGACCTATATCTGGTATCCATGAGATTCTGAATACTTCATACGTGAATTCTAAAGAAAACACTAAAATGCATTTTCTCGTAGGTCTTCTACGCCGATATCATTTACATTTCTTTTACGATTAAATGATAAACACGAAAAGCTATATAGCTCTCATGAAATTACAAATAAACTATACGCATTCCAACATGTATTCAAATGTAGTCTTTTCAGAATGAGACCCAGTTATCTCAAAACTTTTCAAAATAACACGTTGTGCTCTTCTACGATAATCCAAGTGTCCCATTTCATTTGGAATAATAGAAAACAGTAGCAGTCTAAAGAAAACACCAAGAAATGTTCTGATTTGGCCATTAAATATTTGTTGTTGGGTGGTGGAATTGTGAATTGACTTACGCATTCTTGCCGCCTGAAAGGATGCAGAATATAAGTATAAAATATTTTCTTCTTCTTCTCCCTCAAGCATTAGACCGGTTGGTCGGTTGCGCCTCCTTATAAAATACTTTTAAAATGCAAATATATTCTTCAAAGGATTTTTTCTTCTCTCCAGCAGCCAGGGACAGCGGAGATCCCTGCGAACGCATGGAGCCCCAGGAAAGGCAACGCTGCTGGGATGATCAGCTGCATAAACTGAAGGTACGGCTTTGCAAGAAAACTAGGGGAAAAAACATCAATATTGTCAGCCCTGTGAGCGATTTTTTTACCCTTATTGATCTCCAATCCAATTGGGGGCCAAGTTCAGACATAACACGTAGAAATGATCCGAATTATAATTCACCGTTCGTGATGTAGTGATTCAGTTGTTATCAAAATCCATTTAGATTTATTTAGTCAAAGAACAGTAAAAACTGTATGTGACGTAGGGGGGGAAAGATTATCTGTCATTAATTGTTACTTTTTAATTGTTGGTTTAGTTTTAATTGGTATTTAATTTATTATTACTAAATCATTATAACAAAATATCATTATATTCGTACATCAATGTTCATATTTTCCCTTTGGTTAGTGTGTCGTTCGCATGTGGTTGAATGGTCGGGTGGCACATGTGAATTGTGTGGTTGAGAGGTCGGGTAAGGTAGGTGGAGAAGGAACACTCTCCTTCCGTTATCGAGTAATCAGTGGCTGAGGTTCATTGTCTGAGACTGGTTTGTGTGTGGTTGAATGGTCGGGTGGCGCAGGTGAAGTGTGCGGTTGAGTGGTCGCGGAAGAAGGCGTGGAGGAGGAACATTTTCCTTCCGTTATAGAGTAGTCAGTGGCTGAGGTTCATTGTCTGAGACTGGTTTATGTGTGGTTGAATGGTCGGGTGGTGCAGGTGGAGTGGGCGGTTGAATGGTCGGATAGCGTAGACGAAGGAGCATTTTCTTTCCGTGCGAGTGGTCGGATGACTCAGGTGACATTCTCTGAGTCTGATAGAATGATTGTGCGGCGCAGGTGGCTGAAGAGCATTATCCTAGCGTGGTGTACTTGTGACTGAGTGGTCGAGAGGAGCAGAGTGATGTAGGTACATCCTGCTTGGGCGGTTCGCGCATGACTGAGTGGTCGGGTGACGCAGGTGGGGAGGTAGATTCTCTGTGTGTTGCGTGTGTGGTTGAGTGGTCGGCATGCGCAGGGTGGTGGAAGCGCATCCTCCCTGTGTGGTCCGCGTGTCTCTGAGTGGTCGGGTGACGCAGGTGGATGAGATAGATTCTCTGTGTGTGTTGCGTGTGTGGTTGAGCGCTCGGCAGGCGCAGGACGGAGGAGATGCATCCTCCCTGTGCGGTCCGTTTGTGTCTGAGTGGTCGGGTGACGCAGGTGGGGGAGGTAGATTCTGTGTGTGTGGTGCGTGTGTGGTTGAGCGGTCGGCAGGCGCAGGGCGGAGGAGGCGCATCCTCTCTGAGTGGTCCGCGTGTTTCTGAGTGGTCGGGTGGCGCAGGTGGAGGAGGTGCAGCTGCGGCAGCGGGTGGCGCGGGAGCAGCTGGACGCGGCGCAGGCGGAGGTGGCGGCGGCGAAGCAGCTGCGCCAGGAACAGCTGCAGACTGCGCAACTGCAGCGCAAGGCGGCAGAGGAGCTCCTGCAACAGCAGCAGGAGCTGCACTCCCTCAGGCTGCAGGTACCTTTCGCATTCAAAGCCGCACTCGCGACTGCGAATTTGAACAAACAGTCGGGCGGGAAGTGATGATATATATAT